GCTGGGATTTATTATAATCAGCAAAGGGAAAATGTGCATGGGGCAAAATCTGAGAAAAATCAGGCATGAGCTTCTAAGAGACTTCTCCCTATGTAGTCACCCAGGATGTACCCAATTCCTCTGGCATGGAATTGTGGCAAATGTATGGAATGTTCTCTACCAAAAAGCTCATTAGAGACTCAGTGTCCAAGATTTTTATTGGGGACATTGGCAACCTCTGCTTAGCATGATACAAAATTCCAAACTTCCAGAAGGGAAGCAGGGGTTCAGCATAAACCACATGGTTTGTACAGTTTAGGCACAGTGAGCCACCATTACCAATCAGAGAAAAATGGGAACTCTCCCCAAATCCAAATTCCCATATGCCAGCTAAGGACCAACCTTGCAAAAAGACCTTTTTAAAGATAACAGTCTCAGCTCTGGTATGTTAACCTTTCCTATACAGTATGTTAGCCAAGTTTCTTTCTTTCTTTCTTTTTTTAAGTTCGTTTATTTATTTTGAGAGAGAGCACAAGTGGGGGGAGGGGCAGAGAGAAGGAGAGACAGAATCCCAAGCAAGCTCAGTGCCATCAGTGCAGATGCTAGATGTAGGGCTCGAACTCACAAACTGTGAGACCGTGACCTGAGCTGAGATCAAGAGTCAGATGCTTAACAAACTGTGCCACCCAGGTGCCCCTGTTAGCCAAGTTTCTGTATTGAGTAGGAGGAGTAACATCCAGAAGAAAATGGAGATCCAGGTGATGACGTATGAAATCCTATTCCTTAAGGATTTTAATAAAATTCATGCCATGGGAAGCAGGCCATACATGCAGGATATGAACCACTGGGACTCTCCAAGTCCACTTGGCTCTTGGCTCTAGTCTGGCTTAGAGAAGAAGAGATAGAACACAGAGACAATGGGTCAACATGCACCTAGGCGCTCACTCACCTTTTCTGTTCTTCCCCCCTTTCCACTTTTCCAAATGGGACTGTTTCTTTAATTTTTGGAAAGATACAATATAAATAATGAGACTGGATAATCAAAAAGCCGTTTTCACATCCAAGTCACCGAAAGCTGTGAGTCATATGCTCCCCCCCTGCCCCCCGCAGATCTCCAAAAAGAAACGGTAATTTTGGAACTCAGCCCCGTGGGCCACCAGGAATATTTGTGGGTCACCCAGGAATATTCTTAGGCATACGTTCTTTGTTAGTAATACGTGATATGACATTTTAATTTTCTGTGGCCAGAGGCATCTCCCTGCATCTACAACCTCCTAAGATTACCTGGCAGAATAGAGCCGTCTGCTTTCAGACCCATTGATGGCAAAATTCAAAGAAAGGAGATGATTGTTTATTCTCATGGGAAACTTCCAGATGGAGACTAGAAGTTTACCTGAGCATTTCATTATTTAACTTGCACACTTTCTTCCTTCTACACAATTAGACTTTCTTTTAAGTTCATTTCTATTTACTTTTTATTCAGTTCTCTTATTAAGGTGAATAGTAGAACAGCATGTACCTTGTACAAAGCCCCTTTTGAACCTAATAATGACAATCATTATTCAGCATTGCTTTTCTTTAAAAAAAAAATTTTTTTTTAATTTATTTATTTTTGAGAGACAGAGAGAGATAGAGAGTGAGTGGGGGAGGGGTAGAGAGAGAAGGAGACACAGAATCCAAAGCAGACTTCAGGCTCTTAGCAAGTTGTCAGCACAGAGCCCAAAGCTTGAACCCACGAGCTGTGAGATCATGACTTGAGCCAAAGTCGGACGCTTAACCAACTGAGCCATCCAGGTGCCCCCAGCATTGCTTTTCAAGATGCAAAAGCTCTTTCTTCTTGGACCTGTTTTTTTGTGATTTTAATCACTTCTGCCATTTTTCTTTGACTTTTTCCATTTCTCTACAACCTTTGTAAAGGTATGATGGCCAAATTTTGGCCATCATATACATACACATGTACATATATGTACATATACATATATATACACATACACATATGTGTATTGTATTATTGGAAGTTATTGGAAATTATACTATATATTTCTAAATTATTCAAAAAAACATGAAACATGTTTTCAAATGTTCTGTCCTTCTTTAAAGTCATTGGTACAACACATAAAGTACAGTGACCATATAATGGCATATAATTCCCTGTATGACTCAACTTAAAAAATGTATACTAAGAAGCAAGGATCGTTGGCAGTAATGAATTATGGACTGATCAAAATTAGTTGTGGGCCAGCAGCTGAAAAGAATGCTCTATAAGAGCATTAATATAATGTAAAGCATGGAGGAAGGAACACATCTCAATCCTGGTTGTCTAACTGTCCCTAACTATAGGTTGTCCCTAAACATTCCTGGCACCAAAAGCCCTACTATACTTTTTCTCCTAATGGTACCCCCCCTGTATTGTCTAATCGTTGTCAGCTTGTACTCTGTTGTAATCTCCAGCTCTTTTGTGCTATGCTCATTTCTCCATCTCTCCTTGTCTTTCATTGGAAATTAACCTGTCATTTGCTATTGAATACCATATACTAACATATATATATTTTATATATTGAGAATATTGATATTCCCCACATCAAGGTAATTAAAAACCTTATTTCCATGACTTAGAATTTTCTCATCCTTACATAGTTTCATGTATTTGAAAATTTGATATGGTTAGTCTTGGTATTTTCACCCAAGAAATATTTTGAATAAAGTGGGTCTTGGGAGTGATCTGGGTAGGTAGGATACATGGAGCAGATCTAAAATTTTAGGAGTTTTTTTTTTATGAGAACTCTGATGCTGTAGCCTACCTAAGTTTCAGAGTGGTACACAATTCAAGAATTTTCCCCCAAATATATTCTCAAACTTTAAAGATACTATTCAACAGAAAAGGAAAAGTGAATTCCAAAGCCATGAAGAAGGCTTGGAAGGGAATCTGGCATTTTCTGAGAATTGAATCTTTCAGTATCACCAGGCTCAGCTATTTAACTATAAGGCAAGTGTTGTGGTGGAGCGATCTCAAAGAAATGTCCACTGTGCCCCCACTGTTTATCTTCCTTGGTAGGAAGTAGTAGGGGTATATGTATGTATGTGTGTATATGCATGTGTGAATGTATCTGTGTGCTGTCTGCAGTGAGAGGAACATGAAGATGTTAAGAGTGCGACCCCACTGAATTTGCACTATGATGTATACCTTTTCCAAAGGGGATTTTACAATACTTATTCTACAGATGACCACTTGATTTGGTGGGTAGCTAATATGGTATGTTTATTTCACAGTTGCACACTATACAGCTTTTTAAAAATACATATAATGCCTGAACAGGGTTTCAGAGCAGATATTTCCTTTTAAACTTTTTTTTTTTTTAAATCACAAATATGATTGGGCCATGCAACCACGTTCCACCTCGTTTAATTCCTTTGCATTAGAACATTATGTTAAAAGCTCACTAGACACTGAATTGTGAGAATTATCAAAAGGAGAAAAAGAATGAGAGCCTATGGTACAGGAGGTTATAGAAGAGAGAAGCCATGGTTTCTTTCTGAAAGAAAAGGTAAAGGCATACATTTTCTGAAAGAAAAGGTAAAGGCACAACAAAAGAAGTTAGAGAATTAAAGATGGCAGGATTCTTTTTATGCAGCTTGAGGCTGAACTGACATCTCAGGGGTGAGCAATGCAAAAAAAACTTTCCATGCTGTTCCACCATCTTGGCGCCTCCCTCATGGCACGCTGACAAGTCTCCACTTATAATGCTGTTGGCTGAGCTTGACCAAGGAGCAAGGATGCACATAATGTGCTTCTTGTGTCAGAGTGAGAGTGGCTGGACTGGGAAAAGATAGCTCATCTGCAGCCTGCACGTATATTCTGGAACAAGTCCCATTGTTACTCAGAAAGTTCAGGACTCTAGGCCAACATTCTCCTACTCATGCAGGAAAAGCTACTCAGAGTAGTCCAGCTAGAAGGACTGGGGTTCTGAGCAAGACCAAGCTTGTTGTAAGCCACTTGTTTCTTGGTAATGCAGCTCATTATCTGATAAGCATCCCTCCTAGTCATTAGAGTATAGGGTTAAGAGCTCCTCTTGGAAGGATGCAGGAGATCTGCTGCTTGGAAAGTGGTGCTCAGTGTCAGAGTAGCAGATAGAAATGGACTCAATTCTGCATGTATTGTTGGCCGCAGCTCTTAGTAAGACTCCTTAGAATAAGTTTTTTAAACAATCTTCCATTTCTATCCCTGATGTGGGGAAAGGGCTTCAGCATTGTTGAGGACTGGTGTATGTATAATAGTAAAATGATAAGACATATCAAATGGGAGAATAAAGCCCCAGAGCCCTTTCAGTTTGGATTCAGGGGAATCCATTATATCTTAGAAACAAATTTGCATTTGAGATTGTTGATCTATTAATGTTTTCTTCATTTACATGTGATTTTTTAGTCATAGAACTTATTGGAGTTTGGGGACTGTTCTGCTGTAGTATGAAATCCTGTATTAAAGACTCATCTTGGTATTGAGTTAGTGCAGTGACTTTCAGTGAATTGACTTAGGCCCACATTTCATTTTAATCAAAAACAAAAACTAGAAAGTGTTACTCCCTAAATAGGTAACAATACATTTTATAAGCACTGCAGAGATTTAGTAAATAGCACATATGATTAATTTAGAAACAACCCCTGGCACTTGAGGGTTACTCAATACATATAATAGTTTCCTTCTCATTTTTTTATATGAGGTAAATGCAGACCAGGGAGTCACTGAGCAAATAGTCAACCCTGAGTAGGTTTGTAATCTTAGGCTCCATGGGGATGTCTTTGGTAAAGATAAAAAAGGAATGACTTGTTATTTCTATTATAAGACTCTGTAATGCTAGGACTTCTACACAGCTTAAATAACGGGTAGGGGAATATTCTTTGAGGAGAAATGCTCAGATGCTATCTACTCACTTGTTTAGCACGCACACTTGGCTTCGAAAACTGCTTGCATCATTACTTTGTTCTTTTGAAGAACCATGGCATGCAAACAATTCAGCATACTCTCAAAAATACATGTAGTATGCCCAGTAAAATACATTGGCTAGCATAAAAATCAAAGGAAATAGTAATTTGGAATAGCGATCAACATTACTGGGGTTTTGAATTGTGAAATAATCAACAATCCTGCCCATCTTATCTCGGAAGACAAACTTGAACTTGTCACTGGTTTTCATGGTCAGGTCACTATAGTCAACATTATCACCGGAAATTTCAATGCTGGCAAAGCTGATCTTCCGTTTAAAGCTGGAGATGGAGCTGTTGATAATGTTAGTAATATTGACTTCTTCCACTTCCTTCGCTGTCCCCTAGATCATAGACAACGCGGTCAGCTTGAAAGATTCGACTTAGCAAAATAAATAAGCAGGTATTTATATAATTAGAAGCCTAAGTATTGAATAATTAGGTTTAATAGAAAGTGGCATTGAGTGCCTCAGTAATTGGCTAGTGAGCCAGACTTGGCAGTCCTGTTATCCTGCTTATAGGCACCTCTCCCTAGGTCCTCAGCTTGTATAAGGGGAAGAATAACCATTGCCTTCTATTGATATGCAGAGCTGTGTGCTGAATGCTCAGCCTTTGAAGTTAGCTGATCTGGGTTCAAATTCCATTCTGCCTCTTGCTACTATGAAATTTCAGTCACCTTAATCCCTTTAAAACTCAGTTTCCTTGCCTACAAAATGGTGATGATATTAATATTAATATTTACCTCATGAGACGGATGGGAAGATGGTATAAATTATGTAAAGCATTTAGTAGGTGTTTGATGAGTCCCATTCTGTCTCAGTGAGGAGGGATTAATTATGAGAGATGACAGAAATCAGCAGTGTCTAAAAGTCTCTGCCACACAAACAGAAATAGTGATGCTGCCTACAATTCCAGGGAATTGTCATTCTCCAACATGCCTGGAATGGCATAGCATGTGGGGAGTGTAGTGAAGTCAGAGAGAGTGGAGTTTGGATCCTTGGCCAGGCTACTGACTAGCTGTGAGGTCTTAGATCTCACTTCTCTGAGCAGCAGATTACTCAACAGTAAATTTGGAATAACAGTGGTGGCCATCTGATAGGCTGTTGGGTGGACTAAATGAGATGTTCAGCACATAGCCACTACTTTGTAGTGAAGCTATTCTTATACACACAGCCAAATAAGGGCTTTCTGGTGTCTTCCATGAAGGATGTTAGTAATTCTCCATACCCCTTTTTGCCAATCTACCAAATTCAGATTTTTGTTGTTGTTGTTGTTATTAACCATTGTTCCCTTAAGGAAGCCTATAGAGAGCAAAATGAGTGAAATCCATATTCTTCTTTGGCTGGCACATAGAATCATTTGCCTTTGGTACTAGGGTAATACGACTGTGTGAAACGTTGCTCACGAGTCAAACATAAGGGAGCAGGCAACTGGGTCTTTGGGCTGTTCGGATCCCTTTCTGATACCCTTCCTGGGTTGTTAGGAGTATTTTAAATGATCTAATATTTGCAAAGGGCTTATGACTGTCTGGCACATGTAAATGTTCAATTGATAATAATGATTGTTATTATTCTGAGAGCTGGACCACAGTGTTTCACTGCTAATTCAGATAATGGCAGTCTTTCCCTGTTAGCAGAAATATAGGCTAATTGAGAAATTTGCCACAATTTAATTTTTTTCATACATTTTCAGTAAACCATTACTTGTATAATTTAAGAAAACAAAAATGTAACAAAATAATTAAATAGTAATTGCATATTAATATGAAACTTGTAAGCAGCTGATCACGTTTGGTTTGATATTGGGTTTTTCATGGATGCTTGTGATTTCATGTTGCATACAGATAACAGTGATTTGCTGCTAGAAAAGTAAACATGTTAATATCCCATTGTACTTGACAAAAAGAGCAGTCTTTTTCAAAAGGTGTCATGACTTCCAGATGCCTCCACCTGAACAGGGATGAGAATCACTGGGGATAGGAACCAGTCGGGGTCCTCTCTACAGACCAGCACATGGCAAGTGATGAATCATATACACAGGGCCCTCAAAATTCTTACCCTGTCTTTGGCTGCCATCTGCTGTAAAGAGCTGTAGTGGGCAACTGCGTATTCCAATAGGGCCCCAAACACGAAGCTAAAGCAGATTCCCAGGTACACATCGATGGCCTTTATGAAACAGTTGGTGTTAGGAAGAGAAGTGCGGGACCCGATCATCAGTGTTGTCATTGACAGTACGGTGGTCACTCCTGGGAAAACAGGTAGGCAATGTTCCCACATCAGTGGCCAGTGAACCTTTCACCTTTACCCGGCAGACCATCACCATTCAGAACTTGGCAAGGGGGACAGGACTCAGAAATGGAACAGCTCATTTTGAAAAATCTGCAGTCTTCTAGAGCAGGGTTGATTTGTCCATTTTGAATGGATATGAGTGATATTGTTTTCTAAGTGTTGCATCTTCTGTCTTCCCATTAGAGGGGGGTGTTCAGTATGTAAGATAACTGGCAATAGACATCCAATCACAATTCTCCCTTATCACTGTAAAACATGTTTAAAAATGTAGTACCTCACTCTCTGTCTCTGTCTCTGTTTCTGTCTCTGTCTCTCTGTCTCTCTCTTTCTCTCTGTGAAAGAATCTTTCAAGAAACCAACTCCTGGAACTGCCCTGTGAATATCAGTGAAAAAAAAAAAAAAAAAAACCAAACCTGGTAGAAGGTGAAAAGAAACCAAAAAGGACCTGTTAGGCCAGTTCTTAGAAATCTCCTGTTGGAGCTGCTTACCGATACAGGTTCTTGCAGGAACTGAATCAAGGGAAATCCAAAATGAAACCCAGGATAACACCACCAGGAAAGTGGAAGGAACATAGGTTTCCAAAATAAAATACAGGACATTCCTCCGAAGCTCAAATTGCAAGACCAGTCGTGTATAATTTCCTGATAGGGTAAATAAGAGATAGGAAATAATGTCTGCTCACATAGCAGAGTGGTTTCCCTTCGGGATGTTTAACTTAGCTATATTCACATTAAGCTATCTGTTATACACCAAAACCTAATTAAGCATGAACTGTCATTACAGTTTCAATGAAAGAAATTGCTGTTGTATAGAATGGGATTTATAGGGGTACTGGTACTCCCACCCGTGATCCTTTTCTTGTGCCTTTCTCCATCATAGTATTCCTGTAGCATTATACCTGCTGGCTTCCTTGACATCTACCTCACTAGACTGGGAGCCCTTTGGGGGCCATGTCAATACTGGGCATGAAGCAGGTATTAGTGCTCAGCCCAAACCCTATGGCCCTACCACACTGCGGAGGTGTTCCTGGCCACAAAGAGATAAACTAGGGGCGCCTGGGTGGCTCAGTCGGTTAAGCGTCCGACTTCAGCTCAGGTCACACGATCTCACGGTCCGTGAGTTCGAGCCCCGCGTCGGGCTCTGGGCTGATGGCTCAGAGCCTGGAGCCTGCTTCCGATTCTGTGTCTCTCTCTCTCTCTGCCCCTCCCCCGTTCATGCTCTGTCTCTCTTTGTCTCAAAAATAATAAATAAACGTTAAAAAAAAAGAGAGATAAACTAGAGAAGAAATCGTATTTTTGACTCAAAATGCAACGCAGTTATTTTGCTTTTGTACAAAGTGTCTCTCAAGTTACCTGTTTCCTGCTGTGATCTGGTGACTAAGGTGAAATACCGTTGTATGGTGTACTGAGCAAGACGCAGGTTTTCCAACCCACGCACCGAGTCGTTCCCTCTCAGCCAGCTGAACTCCACATCGTTCCCATCGTAACCCCCTGGTAAGTCAAACAGTGCAAGTCAATGCAGGGAGGCAGCAGATTGAACTCGTCTGGAAAATGCTACAATATGGGGGCAACAGGAGATCTACCTCGATGGTGCTAAGTCCAAGGATGATCCCATGCAAAACTTGGCATGATTTCTCACGTGCAGTTGCTGCATCTGCTTAGAATAGGATGAGCTGCTAGGCTATTTGCCATCAATTGAAAACCGGTTCTATGCTAAGCATTATTTACACTTGGTGGATGATAGGCCTCTGGAAGTGGCCATCCTCATTATTGAAATGATATTTATTGAGCTCCTGTCTGTGCACACACACAGCTCTATGTTACATGGTGCCCTTCAGGACAATCTAGCAGCTCTGAATATGTTCTCAGAGACTTCACAATCGGTCTGTTCTTATTTCCATATTGGCTAAAATGCAAAAACAGAAGACAAGAAACCTACCACTAGCCACTTTATTGATGTCTGTTAACATAGGCATTTGGTAAATCTCAAAGCAGTTTTACTAATATAGTCCATAATAGTAATAATAGCTACCTTTTATGAAACATTTATGGTGAGTCTTTTACACCTTATATCTCTAATATGCTCACAGACTTGCAAGGTAGACATTTATATATTTCTTCAGTAAAAAAATTTTTTTACATTTTTTGAAATTGGGATGGATCTTAGAGTTGATACATACATACATATATATAAAGTAGAGCTTACATTTTTTCCTAAAATGTTATTCAATAAATGCTGTACCTTAGAATCAAGGAATTGTAATGTCTTGCCCATTTTATACATGAAAATTCTCAGATTCAGAGAGATTGCTCAACTTTCTCAGGATAGCAGGGCAAGTTAATAACAAAGCCAGGATTGTACCTCAGGAAAGTCTAAACCCAAAACCCATGGACAATGATGGTGATGATAATATCTATCATTTAGTAAGCAATGGCATTTCTAAGTGCTTTACAATATTATCATCTCATTTAATCCTCAGAATAGCTCTTTGAGAAGACAGATGAGTGGTTAATAAGCACATGAAAAGATGTTCGACATCATTAACCATTAGGGGAAAGCAAATCAAAATCACAGGAAGATACCACTTCACACCCGTAAGAATGGCTGTCATGAAAAAGACAGACAATAACCAATGATGAGAACGCGGAGAAACTGGAACATCCCTGGTGGGACCGTAAAATGGTGCAACCATTTTGGAAAACAGTTTGGCAGCTTCTTGAAAGGTTGAACATAAATTTACTATTTGATCCAGCATTCCACTCCTAAGCATCTGCCCAAGAGAAATCAAATCATGTCCACAAAAGGCTTGTACACAAATGTTCTCAGTGGCATTATTCTTAATAACTGCAGGGTGGAACCAAGCCAAAAGGACTTGTATTACTTGTACTCTTTCATATGGAATAACGAGAAATAAAGCAATAGAAAGGAACGACGTACTGATCCACGCTCCAACATGTATGAGCCTCAAAAACACGCTAAGTGAAGGAAGCCAGATGCAAAAGACCACATGGTGCATTGATTCCATTTATATGAAATATCCAGAAAAAGCAAATCCATAGAGACAGAAAGTAGATTAGTGGTTAACTGGGCGTGGGGGTGGGGTGGCGGCAATGGAAGAGACTGCAAATGTGCACAAGGGATCTTTTTGGTTGATGGAAATGTTCTAACAATGAAATGTGGCAGTGGTTGCATAACTGGGCAGATTTGCCCAAAATCTTTGAACTTCACACTTAAAAGGGCTGAATTTTGTGGTATGTACATTTTACCTCAATAAAGCTGTTAAAAAATAACTCTCTAAGTCAGACAGTATTATTTTTCCTTCTTCACAAGTGAGGAAACTGGGGTCAGGAGAGGTTAGTTCTACTCACCCAGATTCATAGCTAGTGACAGGAAAAACCCAGTGATTTTGGTACCTGCGATCTTAACCATGGAAGTGTATTGCCTTCATTTTCCCAGGTTACTGGGAAGAGGGATGCCAGTGTTGGGACTAACATTTTGTTAAGTCTTAGCTTGTAGTATCCACTGTTGAACAGTGGTTATCTTCCCTCCATAGGGCAGAGAAGTGGTCATGGGTTCTTAGAGGATTTCCAGGTAAAAATTGTCTGTGGGTTTTCTCTCAGAACCACCCCCAAATGTACTGATGTTAGCTGTGCAAATATGCCTAGAAGCCCAGAGAAATACAAAAATAGCTAAAAAATGTGAGTCATATAAGCTTCTACCTAGACACCGTACTTTTACAAGTATTAAAATGCTCACAATCATGGCATTATCATTGCTCTGGTGGGATGGTAGCAATTCTTTTCTAGGGATGGTGTTCAGGAAAAAACACCCTCAGTGAGGTTTCTGTACCCAAATAACTGCTAAGAAACACTCAGTGAATGCTTCCCCTGTTCACTGGGGATGGTATTTGTGCAAGCAGAGTGCTGGAGTTTCCAGGAGAATCTCACTCCTGGGATTTGAGATGAGCACAGCCATACATGGAGGGCAATTACTTTTTCCATGTGGGGTTGAAAATGAGTTCTCTTTTTGATATCCTCAAGTTTTATTCTGCCCCCAAATAGCTGTATTGCTTTAAGTAGGTTTTTCATGTATTTAATCAATAAGGTAATTAATCTGCCTGTCTGAGTCTTTAATTAAATGTCTACTTCTGAAAAATGACTACTGCCTCATAATGGTTGTGCTTCTTGGATGTTGACCATGTGTGTCCTCATGTAAGACGTGCCTACTGATGTCCAGTGCTTGACTATGGTTTTTCCTCCTGACACAAGCCATCCCTTGATGCCTTGATAACTCCTCTCTGAGCCATTGTTTTCCTAGGACACCGGTCACAGGTACACATTCCCAAGTTTGGTGGGCATTTCAGAACAATGGATATTACTCAACAATGCCATTTGACACACATCAACTTAGAATAAATGCTCATTCTTCATCATAAATCCCCAGACTGCAGTTTGAATTCCCATTACTGGCATCACTGTATTAAAGTACACACACACACACACTCCAAACAACTTCTCTTCAAAGTTAGAAGCAGATGCAATGAATGCCAATGATTGCTTTGCACGTTACCATTTTTAACCCCTGCTGTGTTCTTTCTGGCTTCTGGTGCCTTCTCAGATTCTGAGTCCCACTCCTCATCCAATTGACCCCCATTTCCTTCACTGTCCTGTCTACTCTTAGGTGGAAATATTTAGTGTTGGTGCACAGCGGCCTTCCCCAAAAGATGTCATATTGGAAGGTTTGTTGCTGAGAGGTCTCTAAATCTCTCTGCCTAAACACTCAGAAGGGCTGAATCAATTGGAATCAACACCGAGAAAAGAAAGGCCATTGTGTATAGGTCTCTCTCCATGAATACACTGATCTAAGTCACCCGGGAAAATCATCTCAGGGGCTGCAGGATATATACTCACAGCTTTCCAGTTGCAACTTGCATGTCTGTGTGTCCATGGGGTATTTAGACAGGTCCATGTTACATGCAACAGTCGTTGTGATTCTAAGAAAGGAAAAATGGGTTCAAAAGGAGTGTACAAATGGGTTCAAAAGGAAAGTACACATTCCCTGTTAAGGGCAACTCCAAGAAGACTTTCACCTTGGCCCTTACAGTGAACGTGTGACTTGGAGCCTACACGCAAAACATTCCTGAGCTTTTCTGTGCTAAGTGACATCTTTGAGATGTGGTAAAAGCTGGGGCCCAGGATGGAGGAAGCAAGAATGTTGGCAATGAAGAGGCAAATGTGCAACATATTGCAGAACAGAATCACTCATTGGCTTGAGATGCGTTTGCATCCAGTTTTAAAATTTAATCTTCATGACAAATGCACGAGGAGCTAGAACAGAGATCCCAACACTGCTGTCACCATTTGACAACAGATTCCGGCTTGCCTTGGCTCACACAGCTCTTAGTGGCAGAGCTGGGGCTGGATCCCAGGTCTGCTGGCTGTGCAGTTCTCCAGGACCCTGCCTCCTGGAGGGGATCAGCATTCGCAGAGGAAGTGGAGGATGTTGGAGGGTCCCAGGCACTGTGGCTCTTAGGGACCAACATTCAGGGACATTCAATTAAACCTCAATAAAGCCCTCACAGTGGAGATTTCAACTGGCCCACCTTTATCTCCCTTTTCCTTCAGTGTCATACATTTTTATTAAGTGCCGTCATTAAGCACTGTGCTGGGTTCTTGGGGAAAGTGAAATGTTGTGTTCATGGTGCCCACCTTGAGGAAGCTCCCTTAAGGGAGACAGAGTAACAACAGCTACTATTTACTGAGCGCTTACTCTGAGCCAATCCCCAGGGAAAGTGCTTCACATGCATTATCCCTTTGAATTTATACAACAGCTTTACGAGGTAGGAAAAATCATTCTGCTTTTGCTGCTGAGGAAACCGAGGTTCAGAGAGTCTAGCAACTTGCCTAAGGTCACAGAGTAGGGACAGAACAGGGACTCAACCCCAAATACGTCTAATTCTAGAGCGAGGCTGTTAAATGTCATCTATAATTTGTAATCCTTGTACAAAAGAGATTATGTTATGTGCAAAATACAGACAGACACATCCATGCACACACACGTACACACATGGGAAGAGTTAGTGTTGATTGGAGCTGGGTGTCATGGGAGAGGTCTAGTTTAGCTTCTTGAAAGAAGGGTTGGGGTTTGGGCTGGTTTTTGCATAATTCAGTGTGGCTGAGGAATGTCAGATGAGCAATCCAAAAATTCAGTTTATTGGTTAGCTCAGTCTTTGTTTCCTAACAGCAGCCTCTTACTTGGGATTTAAGAGTATTAGGTTCTCAGCCTTCTACCTAAGGACTGTGGGAGCATATGGTTTGCCCGGTCCTTGCACATCCCTTGTGCAAACAGCCCTGAACCTCTGCTGTGGGTTGCCTCTTGCAGCACCTAGGGAACACCTTCCCTATTCTAGCCAACCAGCCTCTTGATAAACTTCCACTGGGTGGAAGGAACTTTTGGCCTCAGGGATTTGGAGAAGAGACAAAGGGAGGCCGTGGTTGCAGATGACAGAGGCCTTGGGGCACTGCGCTTTGATTCTCTGTACAAAAATGGCTCAGACGAGTAGAGATGCATTCTGCAGCAACTCTAGCTCCACTAAGTCCCATGAAAGGAAAAATTTTTACATTTCCTCCTGCTGTTCCCCGTCTTCTCTTGCTAACTTCCTTTTAGTCTTTAAGACTCAGCTCAGAGTTCTGTCTCTAACGTACTCCCCAACTCCCTAGGATTCTGAACTTCCTTTTGTTATTCATCTGTGTCAGGACAATGTCTCATTCAGCTCTGTATTCTCGGTGTCCAGAGTGGGGCCTGGCCCAGAGCAGGCATTCAGTAGCTGCTTATTGAGCCAAACTGAACTGAGGAAGGGCCCTTCAATTGTAGGGACAGGAATCTAAGAAGGCAGGGGCATGACAAGGGTGGGACGTTGGGGTGCTTATCTGACAGCTGGTCAGAACTATCCAGGATTTATTTATGCCTTTTCTCCAGCCATCTCCACTCCAGCCCTGCGGTTGCAGCCACCCAGTCACCTGAGAGCATACAGGACTGTGCCATTGGAGAAGAGGCGGATGAGCCTGTTGCCCACAGTGACTTCATGGAGGAAGGACTTCTTGGACTCCACAATGTAAGTGTCCGGCACCCAGAGGAACTCCACAAGGCGCGCATCCAGAGTGAAGCTCTTGTTGCCTTCAAATACCAGCCGCTGGTCCGTCCAGCGCTGTCTGAGGTATATGGTGGCTGTATAGTCCTGAGGGGGAAGCCAAGTAGTGGAAATGGATTGGGGGGAGAAAGACTTTGAAAACGGAAGGGAAGGGGTCAAGTCTTATTCCCTTCCCCACCTCCACTTAGGTCAAGAGTACGTACTATAATAGACACTGGTGAACAAAGTCTTATTCTTGGGGGAGCAGCCTGTTAGCAATAAGAGAAGAAAGCACCTTATCTGTTCTAGAGAGTAACTCTCACTGCCAAAAGGGAGCCCTGTAGGAGCATGTTTAGCGCCTTAACTTACTTACCTTCTATCACAAAAGCCCCTCCAAACCGTTGAAGGTTTTGGTGAGCTAAGTTCTTAGGTTGTCCAGGATTGTACCCAGACTGCACAGTGGGCCCCTTGGCAACCTGCTTTTTGTGTCAGCTTATCTGTACTGGGTGTTCTTTTTTTTTTTTTTTAATTTTTTTAAGGTTTATTTATTTTCGAGACAGAGAGAGACAGAGCATGAACAGGGAGGGGTCAGAGAGGGGCCACAGAGTCTAGTGAGCTCCAGGCTCTGAGCTGTCAGCACAGAGGGGAGCCGATCTTGAACTCACTGACCGCGAGATCATGACCTGAGCCGAAGTTGGCCGCTTAACCAACTGATCCACCCAGGCGCCCCTGTACTGGGTGTTCTTAAGTGAGAGGATGGTGGAAAGAAGTCATGCGAGTGTTGGTTTTCATTAGCTTAGCTTAGCTTCCGCCCTGGGAGGGTCCATGTGATATTCAGTCTTCCCCACTGCCCTTTGAGTCTCTCCCCGGTTTTCATCCCTTACCAAATGCACCCGCTCCCCTCCCTCATTTCTTCCTTCCTGGACTTTGAATCCACTTTCCTTCCTTTTCAGAAGATCTGTTTTATAAGAATCTTCCACTCTCTTGAGTTTTGGGATAGGTTTCCAGCCTCTGCCATTCCAAGAGCATGGGGGCTGTGAGTCTCTGTTCTGTTTTTTGAGTAGCTAGAAGGTGTATCCCCATAAAACACAAGGAGAAGGTCTCCTCAGGTGGAAGATGAAGGGGCCACACTTACCATGTTACTCTCTGAAATACTAGAAATACTTGCAATGTCCAGAGTCAGTGCTATCTGAACTGGTTCTCCTAAGAATGAAGAAAAAACCGGAAGGACTTATATAGAAACACAAACACACTACATTAGCACAATGTTTTAAAAATTATAAAATTACGAAAGCAACATTCACCTATTGGAAAATTTTAACCACTCTAGAAGTATATAAAGCAAAAGGTGGATTTCTACCCACCCCTGTCAGGAGGAACCATTGTGTAGAATGGGAAAAAATGTATGAAAAATGTTTGTATAAAAAATGCACAAATATGTAAAAAGCTTAATGTGTAAGAGAGACCACACTACATTCATTAGTGCAGATTTAAAGAAATTTGCTATTTCTTACTTGGAGGATTTTTCCTGTGGTGCTTTGCAACGGACAGATTATTTAGAAACGTAGTAGGGGATTTGGGATTTTGCACAGAGATCTTCATTTTTTTTTCCCCTCAACTAAGTAAATTTACCACAAGATGGCATTCAAGACTGCTCCTGGTTGAGCTGCTCACCTCCTGATGCTTTGCTACTCTTCCTTTACTCTCCCAAAAGCCTAAACTATTTAGAATTCCAGAACCTTCCCCATGAGATCTGGTATGTAGATACTGGGCCTCAAGCTGAACTTCTGAGAGCGCCCGCCTCAGCTCTGGAGACAGAGGCCTTGGGGCCACCATTCTCAAAAGCCAGGCCAGGGCAGTGTATTCCTCCTCAGACTGGAGATGCAGAAGAAAAGCCCAGGAGTGAGAAAGATGTTGGCTTACAACTGGGAAGAGTTACCAAGTCTTTCAGAACTGCAGACTTCTCACCTACAAGTGGGGATAATGCTAATGACACCATAGGGTCATGGAGAGGGCTAAAGGAGATTCGGCATGTGGCAGCTTCTCTGCAGGATGGTGGCAAGAGGGATACGTGTGAAGTGCCTGCCCAGCCAGACGTGTAGGAGGTGTTCACGAATAGTTATCTGTACAAAGCTCCCAGGATTGTGTCTGTCACATAATAACAGAGGCTCAGTAAGTGGCATTTGCTTACCCCTCTTCTCCTCCTCAATCCTAGCTCATTCTGGAAAAAGAACAACTTTACTCACCAGGTTAATAGCTGCAACAACATTCTCTTGTAATAAAGAACTAGGGGTGTGTCAGGGGACTGTGACACTGCATTAACCAGGAAGAGGGGAGGTGAAATTCAAAGGAAGCTTAAAACCATCTAATTGGTAGGAATCAGACAAAGCGACCTACTTATTCACAGAAGGAAACTAAGCCATAGAATATAGGTGGGAATTTGGAAGTGAAGTTTTAGAACCAATGCAATTAAAAGTAACGAAGTAAATGCTTGGTGTTAATACTTGGTGGAAAAGTGGGAGATCTTTGAGGACAGACTGTGGAAGGTGCTGAAGGAGTATGGTGCTAGGTGGCTTTCTGCCCCTCAAGGCAGAAATTGAGAAAAGGAGCTTGGAGCCAGAGTGTTTGAATCCTATGCCCACCACTTCATAGCTGTGTGACCTTGAGCAAATTGCTAAGCTACAATTTCTCACCTATAAAATAGAGCTACTAGTGCCTGGTATTATGGGTTGGGTTGGGAAAGTTACAAGATCTATTTTAAGTGCCTGGAGCACAGTGGGCAGTGGCTGAGTGTTATTTGCTCTCCCTGAGGAACATGGAGAACAGAAAACACACAAAAGTTCCATCCCACTGTGCTTTCTGTTTACTTTGTATCTAATTAGTCCAGTCTGGGCCTTGCTTCAGTTGGCTTCTTTAGGGACCAGAACTTGCTTTCTTCCCCTTGAGTTATCAAAGTAAGCTGTGCCACCAGAGGGCAGCTTCCTCCTAGGAAAGAGGTCAAAGCCAGTTCCTGGACAGTGTTCTTAGGGCTTGTTTATAAATCTGTGCTCTGTGTACCTTGTTCCCTGAAAAACCCTATGGAGGTCTTTTCTCTTAAGGACCCCAGGGACCTAAAACCTGGGTGGACAGGCAGTACAGAAAACGTGGCTGCTCCACGGAACTCCCGGCCACCAAGTAAATGTAGTTCCTTTAGGAGACAGATTGCCAAGGTGTTGGGGCTCACCTTCTTTTTGACTAAGGACCGCTTACCCCCTTCTCACCTCAGGTGGATCTGCGCCTCACCCTCCTTGGGTCCACCCCAGGTTCATTGCCCAAGAATCTTGCCTCTTGTCAACCTATGAACAGGCAACAAGAAGGGCAGTATCCTGGCCTATTGTTTGGGGTTTGGGAGGCAGAGGAATTGGATCTAACCAGGGTGTACAGACTCACATGCTTGTCATTAGTGTCCTGCTGGGCCTGGGAAGACTAGGGGAGGTTGAAGCCTTCCTAGGTTTGTTAACGTAAGGAGCTCAAATCTTAATTGTGTGGCCATGAAAATGGTCTGTGCTCTGAAATCTATTTGTGCACTTGCTCTGAGGCCATGCTTCCCGAAGGCTGCACCCCAGCAGTGACTGAGTGTGGCGGGGATATGAAGGCACACTGTTCCTGGGAGGCAGAGATAGGAGATTCCTCTGATGGCAAATTTGGCTCCAGGATTCTCTGGGGCCCTTCCACACACACATAGAACCGTAGTGTAGTCTATGACACCTCTGCCCAACCTTCCTTCCCTCCCTCTCTGCTTCCCCCGGGGTCAGCTTCCCTCTCTTCCCACCCCACATTCTGTCATAGATATTGCCCCAGTGAATATCTTGCATGGATAATTCCCTTTTGTGTTGGCTCTCCAGTGGACTAACCCACTAATCCTAGATTTGACCAGAGAATTTTGTCATGTGAGGGGAGGAGCAGGAAGGAAAGGGGATTAGAATAGACTGCGTCCTGATGATATGGCAGGTGCCATGGTTCTTATTCACACACTTCATTTCAATCAGTCCTCTCTGTGAGGCAGAAGATATATCCCCACTTTATAGAGAGGTGACTTAGAAAGCTAAGGTGCTGGGCAAGCAGTAGAGCCAGGAGCCAAATGGAGGTTTGTTCAACTCCAAACCTCTTTCGACCACTTTATGCTCTGCGTAAGGAGACATTAGAGACACAGAGAGACTGAGACTCTGTGAGGAGGTATATTATTGGTTTCATCCCTCCCTCTTTCCCTCATGCCATCAATAAATACTAATTGACCACTTGCTGTATGCCAAGCACTGAGCTGCTGCTAGGGTTAGTGAGGTAACTTTACTGAGGTAAATAAAGCAAGACTCCCCCAAGAGACTGTAGCCTAAAGCTGAGACAGATGTAAAACCAGTGGCAACGATGGTATTGCCAGGTAGTGGCTAGGATTTGGAAGTATGTTCAAAGTAAAGTGTGAAGAATGGGGATAGGGCCTAGAGGAATCAGGGCTGGCTTCTCACAGGAGGAAGCCTTCGATTAGAGCCGTGAAGAAAAATTGGCATTTTGCCAGGGAGGGAATTTGAAAGAAGCTGTTCTCAGCAGATAAACAGTCTCAGCAAAGGCAGGAGACCAGGGAAGCCAAGGAGGTCAGGGAGTGTTTGGGGCACACTCCTGGCCGGGCATAGCGGGAGGAGTTGGGGCAGATGAGACTGGCAGAGATAGAGGCTGGCCTAGGAAGGCCCTGGTGTGCCATGCAAAGGGCTCTGGACTCTATGCTGAGGATGCTGGGACATAGGCAGGTATTTTGAGCAGGAAAAGGACCCAGGCAGGTCATCTAGGTGGCACTGTTGGGGGTTAGCCTTGAGTGACCAGGCTGGAGGCAGGAAGACTAGGTGGCATGGTCCTTAAATAATGACACTGGAAGTGGGGGTAGAAGGAAGACAGTGTGTAGGAGGTTGTTAGAGGCTCTAGTCACCTCCTCAGCTGGGAAGAGGATTTCTTCATCCTGCAGGTTGAGAAGCAAAGCACGTTCTTCAAAATAGTGTGAAAATCACTTGCTGTCCTCATCCATTATTGCTAATCCTTAACAGGTTGTAGATCAGAAAAAGGAGTCAACTGAAATCTCCTGAAACCCTCCTCTGCATATTGTCTCTGTTCTCCTTCTTTTGAATTGTCGTACTGGACAGAAAGGATGACCTACCACCAAAATTGGGCCTGAGAAATTTATTATATCCTGCTGTGAGATTCTCAAAGCCAGGCAGGGAGAGCTTGTCACTTCTGCTGACCTCAATGTTGAACTGATTCCCCTGGATGCACATCCTGGAAAAGAAGATGAGTGTTGCTTATCTGTGAATAAGCATGTACACACACAAACTTGAGCTTATGTTTGCATGTATGTCTGTGTGTTGTGCCCATGTACCAGTGGTGACTTTCCCAGAGAGAAATCTCTAATTTTAAGCTGCTGAATTAATATGTCATTATCCCATTCCATTTTATTACCCATTTGCCATACCTCAGAATGCTGAGGTAATTTGGGAACCCCTCCAAGTGTCTTTAGAAAAAACACAAGTGGGGGCGCCTGGGTGGGTTAGTTGGTTAAGTGCCCAACTCTTGATGTTGGCTTAGGTCATGATCTCACAGTTCATGGAATCAAGCCCCCACAGTGGGCTCTGCACTAACATCGCAGCACCTGCTTTGGATTCTCTCTCTCTCTTCCTCCTCCATCTCTCATGAGCACATGCTTGCTCTCTCTCTCTCTCTCTCAAAGTAAATAAACATTTAAAAAAACCCGCAATGGTTCACCCATGTATGACCATTTTGGAAGCTTGAATAAATGGCAGGGAGTTGTGTTGTCTGGGTGTTTCAAGGAGGTGGACAGACTAGGCTTTGTCTTGCCATTAGTTTCTTACTAAAGACCTGCCACCCTTCCTACTTCAACCACATACTCAAAGCAATTCAGACCAAGGTCATTATAGGGCAGCAAACTCACCTTGGAGTCAAGAGACTCAGACACACAAAGGTCAAATGGAGAATGTATTTCATGTTGACAAGGCGCTCACGCAGAGAGGGGCCAAAGTAGCAATCACCTGGGAAAACAGATGGGCAAGGCAGGAGAGGTGACCCAAAGGGCTCACCTCTGCCAAGCCCAGCTCCGTCCTGTGGGTCATCAGCCGCAGCAGTTTTTCAACATGTGTGGAGAGCAGCCTCTTTCTATACCATTTGGTTATCCCTCCCATTCCCTGCATGCCATCCAGGAATGACTCCATTTTGGAGGATCATCATGTTAAATCCAACCCAAATAAAGGCTGGCACCTTGTTTAGAGAGTAGTTCACCAGCCCCAGAAATGCAGCCAGTCCATCCTGGACTGTGTATTTTGGAAACCCCAGGACTGTCCTTACCCTCTCCTTACCTTGACTTTGCCAGGAAGGACATCCCCAACTAGGCACTCACCCTGACCATGCCATTTATCCAAGGGTCTAAGTCTATTAAGCAGGTCATGTAGACAGGAAATGAAAACTTCCCAATAATAAACAAACACACAAGTAGACTTTCCAAGAACCATCCATGTGCAAGGAATACATTAGATACTTTCCCACGGATCTTCTCACTCCATGTCCCAGTGCCGTTGTGAGGTGGGGTAGGTTAATCCCGAACTGGGATGAGCAAACAGAGGCTCACAGAAAGGTCACTGTGCTAGTGAATGTCAGAGGAGACTTTGAGTCCAGGGCTGGCAGCCTCACACCAGTGATATCGGCTGCTCTCCCAACCTCCCAAATCTGCTCCCTGGGCACTCTAAAGCCGTTCAGCTGGTTAGGTGAGCATGAGGACAGTCAGGGAAGGCATGGCCCCGGGGCCTGGCCTCCTCAGGCTTGGGAGCTACTGTCAGATGTTCCTCTGAGAGAGTAGCCAGCAGCCAGGCAGGTGAGCCTGTGACCTGTCATGATGGTGACAGCAGAGTGGGGGTTCTCGGGTGTGGCTCTGGCCTTGTACCTAGGCAGGCAGTCCCAGAGTGGCTCGTCCCCTTCCTCTGTGGCAACCTGTGTCAACCAGGCTACTTTCAAGAGGCTAACCATTCTGGGGCTTAGGATATGATTCAACAATTAATTAACTAATATAATTTTACCTACAAAATGGATACATGCTCATTGTGGAAGTGAAAAAGAAGACAGAAATGTAGAAAATTGAAAGTAGAAGTCCCAATGATGTGTCCTGTAGGTTCATCAGCTTAACAAATGTACCACTCTGGTGGGGGATGTGATAGTGGGGAAGGTTGTGTGTGGGGTGGGTGGGGGGCACAATTTTATTATGAACCCAAAATTTCTCTAAAAAATAAAGGCTCTTCCTCACTTCCCTCTAGTCTTGTACCTCAGAGACAATCAACTGTCAACAGTTGTTTTATCTACGCATATATACATGTATATAAATATGAAGAAAACAATTAAAAAGTAAAATTGGTGTTATAGCATGCATTTTTTTGCTACTTACTTGTTTTGCTTAATAATGATAGCAAACATTTATTATATATTTAATGCATGTTTGCACTCTGCTAAGAATCTTGGAAATCCTTGTGACTCATTAAAGTCATGACTACCATTCTCCTCATTTTCCCAAATGAAACAGCTGAGGCTTAGAGAGAATAAGAAGCAGTCCCAAGGTTCTATGGCAAGTGAGGGGCAGACTGAATCCAGGCAAGCTGACCCAATCACTTTTAACCACTACACCATGACACAATGCTCTTTTCCAATGTCAGAGACCTCTCCATGTCAGTTCCTACAGATCTGCTTCATTCCTCCTAATGGTTCAAAGTATGTCGTAAGATCAGCATACCAACATTTATATAACACATGTCCTGCTTATGGTACTAAGTTATTTCCACATGTTTTACTGTTACAAAATCAGTAATGAACATCTTTGCATGTGTGTAAGGTTCTAGAACTCTGCACTTCTTCATATTCCTCTACCTCAGCCCTTTCCTTCTCACTCATCTTTTGATAAATCAACATTATCAGTCCACCAATGATCATATTCAAACTTTCTTCCTTTAGTTCATCTTCCCAGTCTCTGTCCATTCACCCGTCCCCAGCATCATTTCCTCCATTCCTTCATTCAATTTTCCAAAGGCTTTACAAGCTCCTTCTGGGAATCAGACATGTATGAGGTATCCACCAGAGCTCCCATCTAGTGAGAGAGAGGGAGTGTAAACAGTGAAGTGACACAGTGTTCCTGTGGCTGTCCTGTAACAGGGGCTGAGGCAAAGGATTCATGGTGTGCAAAGGAAGTGAGTGATCAGTTCCATTGGTGGAGGGTGGGACGGTGCCAGAATGGAAGTCATAGAGAAGGTCATTAGATTCTTGAAGAATGTGTTTGCATTTTTTCCAGGTGAACAAAGAAAGGTGGAGCCCTCCAGATGCTGGGCAAAGATATGGAGGCTTGCCCACCAACACTCTCCTACCCACTTATGCTCAGTCTCTGCCTTCTAGCCCATGGCCATCTGTAACTTCTCCCTAGTCTGGTCTGAATTAGCTTCTTTCTCATTTTGGGATATTCCTAAATTCTTTCTCTTCCTATGTGAAATTGAACTTTATCAGGCAAGTTGGGGAACAATCTAGCTTCAGCTCTAAGACCCCTATTGAATCGTGTTTTCCCCATGCCCAGCCCTATGTTAGGAAGTGAGAATGTTTGGGCCTTGGGCCTCTGAATCTGCCCCAAGGAATCTCATGTCCTAAAAAGCTTTGCCCACACGAGACCTGGAAATGTGATCCCATTTGTCCCTGCTTATCTTGTCAGGTTGCTGAGCATGTCTCATTTTATTAAGGAGGAAAAGAGAGGGAGAGAAAGCCCTCTAGATGCTCGCAGGTGCTATAGGTGCTGTGTTTGGTGCTTACTCGCATTTAATTCTCATGAACATCTGGCCTAGTAGGTGTTAATTTCTGGAGTTGGATCTCAGATTGGTGAAGGGATTTGGCCAAGGCCACGTAGAAGTTAAGTGCCATGATTTGAATCTAGGTCTTCTTCCAAAACCCTGTTCTTTGTGCTGCATTTGGGAAGACGACCCCAGCTCCCAAAGTGAACTAGATTACACTTGACTCTGGTCCTTCTTTCACCAAATCCATCTCTGGGGTAGAGTGCTGTATCTCCAGTATGTCCCAAATGGCAACTGCACTGGTGTGTTTTCCTCTCATGTGGCGATAGAGCCAACCATCAAGTGACGATTTGTGTATCCACCCGCCTGAATGAAGGCTCCAGCCACCAGTGCTGATACAGATGATGGGAATGGCATTTAGCAGAGTCACCCACTGAGCCACCAGAGGGCAGTGCCCTGAGGGTTGTCGCCACAGCTACAGGGGACCTGGAGAGTCCAGCTGCATCTACCCTGCGCACCTGCGGGGAACATGGGACTCACGATGTTCCTGGAGGCTCCTGAGTAGGGGCGGCCTATGAACTCTTCCCCTGCTCTGAGGAGCTTTCTGCCAGGATCTCTCCTCTACTTCTAGAAGAGAGCTTGAGCTTTGGGTTGATACACCTGAGTCATTTAACCTTTCAGAGTCTGGGCTTTCCTATCCGAAAAACGGGAGGAGAAAACACTCAATAAATATTAATTTTCATTCTCCTCTCCTTTCTGCCTCTGTGGGGACTTCATTGATCCCACCATGACCATGAGAACCAAAGCTCAATCTCTTTCTATACCCCATGCTACCACCCACGGTATGAGCTGACTACCGCATCCTCTTGAGGGCACTCATTTTGGCATTACCTCCAGAAGGACGGGGTCACACACAGGACTTCAGGGTCACCTATGTGGCAGATGGCAGCTTTCTCTGGATTGGCTCTGAGAAGCAGAGGTAATTGCAGTACATGCAGGTTTCTGCCGCATTCCCAGAATCCCCATCACATAGACAGTGAGCCCCAAAAGCGTCATGCCCAGCCTCCTTCTCACACAGGCACAGCTCCCCTGACTTCTGTCACTTCAGCACAGACAGAATCATTTGTTGGGAAGCAGGAGTGGAGCCCAAATTAGGTTGAGGTGAGGAAAGGGATTATTGCCTTGGGCCCTCCCTAAGAAAATCACAGCAGGTGAAGTTGTGTGGTGGGGGCCTGGTCTGCAGCACAGAAAGGAAGGTCAGGCAAGAGGAGCTGTCATCTCGGCTCTGCCACTGACTCGGAGACTATATTACTTCTCCCTGAGGTTTAGTTTCCTCCACTATGAAATGGGAGAGTAATCAATAGTTCTTCAGACAGCAGTGGATAGGTGCTTAGCAAATTCTAGGCGAGGGCCCCTCCCCTCACTCCCAGCACAGCTTGTATCTGAATCTCCTTCCCTCTCCTCCCTCCAAGTACCAGAGGGGCCAGCGATTCTCTTACCAGGCAGCTGCTGAGGCCCTGTTAGGGCAGGCCCTTCAGGCTTTCAGGCTGGGCATTCAGGCAGGACATGATCTTCTGGGTCCCCAAGAGTCTCCTCATCCTCAGCCCTGACTCCTTGGATGCAGGCACAGGCCACTCTCTGATGGAGTGGCTCTCTCCATGGGGTAGACAGAGCTGCAGGACCGGCTAGGCAGGCTAGTGGGCGGGGCTTCCCGCAGCTCCTCCCCTGGGTGGAGCTCTGACCTGGTCCTGGGTGTCTGTGGGAATCACTCAGCTCCTGCTATGGCTATTGGCTGCCAGGAGTTTGATTCTGAGTTGGTGTCTCAGCTGAGCTCCTGGACCACAGCCAGCAAAGATCAAAGACCCATGGAAGTCAAATACAGTGGGTGACCGCACCCACCACGCCTGGAAGAGGAGTCCCTTTCAGAGGGAGGTTCTAAATTTTGACGACACCTCTATCCTGGTATCATGGAGCAGGAGTTAGCAGCACGTATGACCTTGGACAAGCCACTTTACCTCCTTAGTTCTCAGCCTCCCATTCTGAAGATAGAACTTAATCATTTCTAAAATTCTGATTCCTTGTTGTGCATTTTAAGAGCACCTTTGAAACCATCAGAAAGCCTAGTCTATGTAAAAGGACACTTGCAGATCTGAGAACATCCTGCTTTCCAGGCTGGAA